AGAAAGAAAGAAAGAAAGAAAGAAAGAAAGAAAGAAAGAAAGAAAGAAAGAAAGGAGAATCTTAGACTGTCACTCTAGTCTTCTTCAAGGAAATTCTCTTTCCTTAAATTATAAGCAAAAGTCTAACCCTGTCCAGTCTGGTAACATAGATTTCATTTCAACAGATTTGCAAGTGCTGCAGTATTGCAACTCCTCACTAGGGGGAGTAACTGTACTGTCCATGTGAAGGATACCATACATGCCATCCTCGAACTCCAGTGCTGCTCTCCTGATGATCCTCTCCCTTACCAGGGCTGCGGCACTCTTGGGCTTGTCATCTTTTGCTTCCTTGGTCAGTGTTCGTCTCTGTAGAACATGGGAAAATCATCAGTATGTTCCTCTTTTGAATCATACAAATCTATACGATTACACATTTGGGGTACCCCAATCTCAATTGTTACAGCAACCAACCAAGGAGGTTTAAGAAAATATTGGAGGAGTAGAGTTTAAGGGAGGTCAGGAAAAGGAAAACTAAGGACAGTAGAGAGCGTATGGAAGGTAAAAAGTAAGACTCTTTAATACCTAAACCACCTTGCCAAAACATGCCCGTAGCCAGGGGGGTTCGGGAGGTTCGGAAGAACCCCCCCACAAGGCTCAAAGGTCCACTTTTTGGTCCACTTTTTATGTAAAGGTCCACTTTTTGGTCCACATTTTATGTAAAGGTCCACTTTTTGGTCCACATTTTATGTAAAGGTCCAAGTTTTTTCTTGAAAAGATGGACTGGAATCGTAGAAAACTGCTCTCTTTGTCATTGAATAAAAATTTATCTCTGATTTTCTCTTGGAAATCCGCTCAAAAATGCACGAAATGCCATTTTAGAAGGTTCATTTTTCAAAATTTTCTGGGGGAGCATGCCCCCGGACCCCCTAGAAACCTCGCGCCTTCGGCGCTCGCCGGCGCTCGAGGTCCCCTCAAGCAGTGAGACGAACCCCCCCCCCCATTCAAAATCCTGGCTACGGCCATGCAAAACTGAAGCCAAAGCTACAAAAATGCCATATATTGAATTGCTGGATTGTAGTAACTTGGGAATAGAAACCTAAGTGTCAAAGTTGAAATGTCAGAAGATTAGCTTATGTCTCAATTTCATATCTCTAAATGCTGGGATAGATGAGAATAAAACCATCAAATTGGTCCATGTGAATTTCTGACTGTCCTTTTGCCCACCTCTATTCTCTTCTCAAATTTGTCTCCCTTGAAGACTCTCTGCACAAAGATACTGGGAACATGAACATCTTCTGGAGGGATGGTGCCGGACTCAACTATCTCCTCCACCTGTGTACAACACACAAGACACACTGTTCTGTCAGATTTTTATACTAGTTAGGCCATGTGATTTAATTATATGAATGCAATCTTCTGGGAACCCCAAATCTGATGCGAGAGTGTAAATAAAAAAAGTTTGGCCAAAAAAAAAAAGCTGCCTTCATTATGAAATCTACGTGTTCATTAAGGTTGAAGAAATGACTAAACACACAGCATATGGTATGGGGAATAAAATAGTACTCTCTTCATTTTCATTTGTTCACATTTTCTTCTTTTCCTGAAAAGATTTCAGCATTCTATGACTTAAATATAGTTTTCCAAAACATTTTTGCAACATGCTACATATACCGCATTCGCTCATTTTGTACGATTTACAGTATGGTCGAAAATTTTTTTTTGAAACGGACGAAAATTCATGCGCGCGCAGATGTTATCCATATAATCAAATCAACATGGCATTAGTTACAGTCAATGAATATAAGAAAGATCTGTCTCAGTATATGATTAGTATAACTCTTGCTCTGCAGTTTTAGATTAAACTGCTTAGTGTTCCATGTAGATTTCATGAAAGGATATTAATGAGAAAATGCAGCTGCATTTTTATGCATCTTCAATGAAGACACATTGTGCCTCGTACATGTAGTTATACCTAACACAAACATGTGAAATATCATTGCAAAAGAATGACTTGAAAGTGCTGAACAAATCAAACACACAATATTTTCTATACTTCAATCTTTGAAAATAAGTCTATTTGCATCAATAATACTTTGCTGGCAGGAACATAAACTAGTTCAAATATCAGATTCATTTATCTATCAAATTCAGGCTTACTATGCACTGGGAGATGTACCTCAGAACTGATTACCTTATAAGGTAACTCCCATGGGACACTATCTCCTTACTTGGAAACTCCCATGACCAAAGTTCTAATCATAGAGTTCTAAGTACATGTAATATTTCTCCTCCTCAAGTACATGTACTTATGTTCAAGACATTTTTCATGATTTCTTAACCTTTGCTGAGAGGAGGATTAGAGAGGCCTGCTTTCTTCCACTACCATTTTCTTTGAGTGCATGTACTACCAGTAGTAGGTCACTGATAAATTCAAAATAATTACTCTTCCGGTAGATCTAAACCTGAGGGGTTTAGATTTTCTTCATACCATGTAACAATTCTTTACACTGAAATGCTTCTTCTTGATACCAATCTCAATATCAAATTACTGGGTCAATGAAGTAAAGACAGGTCAAATTTTTGTTACACAGTGTTCTAGGACGATACTAAATGGCTTTGAAGTGGGTTATTGTGACATAACTTATTTTTAAAAATGCAACGATAACCTAGAGCAGTTTGCATTACCTGAAATAATGGGGTTTACAGCAATTAATGAATTGCATTGCTCTAAAGAATGATGTTACAAAATTATTATCCACACAATTGTATCATCATGAAGACTTTTTGTTAGGGCATTCTCCACAAACATGGATATGAGTTCAAAATATAGAAAACATCTAGCAAATGCTTACCTTTAACAAACACAGGGCACAAACTCCAACAGTAGAACAAGAACACATCACGTGACACAAGTCTTTTTGTACACAACGTAAGAAATTAAACTAAGAGTTAGACATCATGGTTTCTTCCTTAACTTAGTTTCCAAACTACGCTACATCTACGACTTGAGCAGCTGGGCTTCGCTACTCGTACTTGTACAGGCCCTCTGACTTGGTTTCCAACCGTGAGATTCCGCGCTCGCGGAGTCGCAGGCGCGTGTTGATGAGGCGGAGTTGTACGCGGGCGAGGGCCAACTTCTGATCCATGATCTGTGACGACCGCTGGTACGACTCGGGCAGGGCGTAATCGGACCTGATATGGCGAGGCATGGTCGCACGAGGAGAAACAACCAACACACCGTTCTACAAACTTCTGCGGAAACGCAACTGAATCTAGCGACAGAAAGCTGTGGAAAGTGACTATAAAGAAATCTGTAAACAAGCCACGACCGGTTTTAACCGGGGAAGTCCGCTTATCACAAATCTGCATATCAGGTCATGTGACCTAAAGAAGCATACCACCAATGCAAAAGAGGGAAAAGACATTTTTGATATTTTTTTTGATTAACAAGAAAAGTCATAAAAATTTCAACCCTGACATAAAAAGCAGACCAATAATAATAATAGATCCTCTTTCAATTGGCTTAGGTGCAAAAAAATTGTGAATCGTATGATATAACTCGAAATTAATTTATGCCATTTCTTGAACACCCCTCAAGTTTTCCATGGTTCAGTCTGGTCAGCAAAATAAGATTGCCTGATATCGTCTGCATTCTGAGAATCCTTCAGGTCTTTTTCTGGCCGTGTCTAGGGAACTGGAATTGGCAGGACTAAAGCGACAACAACCCTTACTGCTAGACATCAACACATACCAACCAGATGAAAATCCAGTTCAATTCAGTACAACAAACTGCATTGTTACCGTCATCTATCATTTCAGACAACTGACAACATTAGTCAAAAATCAATTCATATAACTGTACTTGACAATATTAGCAATGAATGAATGAATGAATGAATGAATGTCTTTATTTCAGGTATTTCACCCATAAAAAACAACGGTACAAACATAGAAACACAAACTATACATATAGCATCTTTAATATACATTTTTTAAAAAGAATTTCTGTACTGACAATCTGACCTCAGAAGGCATTGTATTATGCTGTTGTTGGTGTTGCTTAGCCTATTAATAAAGGGGTAGCATAATTTTTTGCGTCTGGCATCAAATGTGTCAGTAGTTTGGTGTATAACAGTTTTTATTATTTTTCCTGCAAATTTAGGTTCCAAGTCCCCTCTCCAATCATTCTTTACAATAATCTGTATTGATGTATCATTTTATATTTTTGTAATATTGGCCTCCAGACCAAGGCTATGTGCTGAAGTTATGTCGCTTGAGAATAGAGAAGGGGACATTGCACCCTCCTTACCATATAAGGCAATGGGAAATAAGCGAGACCGCGCCCTGTGGGACCTGCCGCAAGATGTCTGAATTCTGGAGGACATCAACATGATGCAACTACAGGGTTTCACTGAAAACATGTTTGTCAAATTTATCTTTCAATCTGGTAGAAAATATCTTATGAATGATGATCTACCACTAGGGCCACAGGAGTCTCTGAGGATGTGAAATCTGCAAGTTAGGCCACACCGACTTTATCAAGGACATTATACAGAAGGACTGGGGTCGCAATTAACACCCCGCGGTGACCATTGTTTCGCCGCGCCGAGTCCCGCTGCGTCCCTTTGTCTTCTTGCCCGCGCGCCCCCCGATTGATGTCAACGTTGGACTCACCCTTTCGCAGGGTTTTCGGCCGAATCATGACGTTGGCATAGCTAATGAGCAGCACCATGACGTCATGGGCGCCGAAGCCTTCCGAATACTACTTCGCTACCCCTGCGTTTTCCAACAGTTTCCTTATTTGGGTTGCGCGGCTGCCATGCGCAGACATCGGCATCGCGTAGAGAAGAAAATGGCGGAGATTTTGATGTTTGTTTCATCGCCGTACGACAAACATGGACAAGTTTACAGCCGTTTTCTGTATAATGTCCTTGGTTTTATGGATGACATCCACACACACATTGATTTTCACCTGTTCTTAAAAAAAAGATCACGTCTGGCCTGGCTGTAGGCCTGGGTAGTCCATAGTAGTTAGCGACAATACAGAGCAGGTGGTAATCCTGGGTGATGGCACCCAGGCTACAGAAGCTCCACGACTCAAGAACTCAGTACATACACACAGTGCCAATTCATAAATTCTGCAAAAAGCCAGCATGTGCCGGCTTGTCGTGTACGTCGCTATGTACTGCTGGAAATTCACTATACCAGCTTTGTATTCCTGTGGATCAGTAGCATTTTTATTTCTGGCTGGAATTTTTTTTTATTTGCCCGTGCACACTACTTTGTGGGTCTTCAGAGGATGTCATCCATAAAATTAAGGGGGTGAGGTCTTAGTAGAGCAGATTTGATATAGCCACAACATACAGAGTCATGACAATTTTACCATATTATTCTAATAAGTTATAGGGTAAGGTTCACAACTGAGATTCAGTCAAGAATATCCTATTCAATCTATGATATTAATGTTATATCTTCAAGACGTGTAACCTCCCCAATAATAGTATTGATAACAGGCTCCTAAACACTGGGAATCAAACCCATGACTTTAGGACCCTCAGGGTGAAGGCTTACAACACAAAGACAAATGTTCTACAATGTTCAGCCAACCTCTGAAGGAGAGATACAAACAACACTGCAGGGCTACAGCAAGCGGCTACTCTTCTGCCATCTACCATCACACCAAACACAACCAGGGACACTCTTTCAAGCTAGAGGCAACAGACATCCTCGACCGTGAACCACGATGGTACCAGCGCGGAGTGAAGGAGGCCATCTATGAGCGCATCTACAACCCCACCCTGAACAGGAAGGGGGGACTGCGCATAGAACTCTCAAGCACATGGGACCCCGCCCTGCCACAGCCCAAGGGACAGTAACATTTCCTATGGTAATTTCTTACCATAGGAACTTTCCTTACATGACAAAGACTCTTACGGTTGTTGAACAGGTTTTTCTAGTTCTAATTACCTTTATATTGAGTGAACCGTTCTTTTACATGATAAAGCTTCTTACGGACCTTGTTGTTTAACCGGTTTTTCTAGTTACATGTACTTGTATATAAGAGTTAATCGGTTCTCTGTTCATTTGTGACGCTGAAGAAGAGTGATGGATGTCACTCGAAACGTCCGGAAATAAATAAAAATCCGTAACTGATCCAGTAGTAGAGTTTGAATTTTCTTACGAGTATCGTTTACCTGGATGTCTAACCTTCATCAACATTCTACAATGTTGTACTAGTAACTTGTAAACCATCATTATCATAACCTCACCTCTGCTATGGTGATCTTGGCAGCTTTTGCCATCGGAGGGTTGAAATTCCTGGCAGCTTTTCTGCAATATTAAAAAAACAATCACAGTCAGCTTAGACCAGTAAAATTAGAACTTTGGCACAATACTTCCTATATTCTGATTGTTGTAGGTAAAATTTTGTCATCGGGTGTGCAGAAAAAAGTAATTGGAGCCCTGATCATCATCATCATCATATCTTGCCGGCCCACTGCTCCAGCCAGTCCAGGGCTTCCTGGTTAGCGTCATACAAGTCTCACTTGGTGACAGATGGTCCAAGCTCGCAGTCCTGTAGGATGTGTTGCATGGTTTGGGTAGGGTGTCCACATGGGCAGTCAGCTGAGCTCACCCGTCCCCACTTTAACAGGTTGTCTCTGGTCCTGCCCACTCCACACCTAGCTCTGTTCAGAGCGGCCCATTTCCTTCTAGGCAAGTGAGTGCCATGAGGTAGAGACTCACATGGGCTCTGTAGAGCTTCGTTTGGAGGAGAAGGGTCTATAGTTCTCCACTGGTCCAGTCGGAACGTGGCAGAGTCTTTAGGGTTCAGATTCTGTACGACCATTAAACTCCTCCTGGACTTAAGTCTTCTGCTGATGTCTCTGTAATGGTGGAGAGGGTGCCTGATAAACATACCTGAATGTCAGGTTGCCCATCCTGTCTGCTTTCCAAGCCTTCACCAGGGCGAAGTCACCAGTGATCGCTCGCTCCATGATGTAGTTCCTCCCGTTAAACATCCGCTCCTGTGAAGAATAAGAATCTCTATAGTTTTTATCACATAATTCATAAATAATATAATCTTAATATTATAATTTCTTTGAATTGCATCAAATACCAAGGTCACATTTGGACAGACACTTGAGAATTTAGAAAGTGTAATAGTCACATACATGTATATATTACCCTTGTCCTACAGGAATCATATATATACAGTGTATATATATGATAATGGTTTATTAAAACACTTCAACTTGTAAACTGCCATGTCTCTGTGATCTTGCGTCGGTCTGATTTTCTTCAAATAGACCACCTGCTCAAGTAGGCCAAATTTGAGTGGTCCCCTGGGTGGTCTACTTGGCCAGGTTTGACTGTATATAATATGGGTTGCACATGCAGTACCATCTACATGTATATAGTGCCCTGTGTATGTACGATTTGGGGGTATTTCTCGTGCAACGCATCACACCCCAGCGAAACGCAACGAATGCAGAAGTAACTACGCCACCGCAGGGCAAAAAAGTCAGGGGTCTGTGACCTGATTACGACTTCAAATTACTTGAAAATATTGTGTAAAAAAGTCCGGCAGGACAAGGGTTAACATGCTTTTTTACTGTAATTCCTGACTCTTTGATGGCACTTTTATGTTCGCGGTTTTCGCAGTCATTTCTGTACCGTAAACTTATCTAACAAATGATTCTCCGACTCTCTTTTTCCTGCACCTGCCGCCACTATGAACGTATCGTTCCGTACACATGTCCATTTTTCTCACACCAAGAACTCTTGCTTCATGAACATTAAGTGAATTGCAGTAAAACGTTTTTACCTCTCTTGGTTCACTTGTGATGGCGACAGAACCGTCGGAGTTGTACTTGATGGGCGCCCCTCCCTCGTGTACCAGGGTTCCGTACGCCGTGGGAGTGAAGAATGCTGGGACACCTGCCCCGCCCGCACGGATACGCTCGGCCAGAGTACCCTGCAGGGAAAATACATTGTAATAGAAATCTTTTAATAGAAATCTTTTTCTTCTTTTTTTAAATATTTCAACATTTCATGACTAGACATGGTGACAGCATATATATATATCAACTTATATTATGCCGCCACTAACGCAGAGGACAAATACAGAACAGGACAATATATAGGAAAGTCATGTAAAGTGCCTTCCCCAAGGGCACAAGATTGGTGGCATGTCAGGACTCAAACCCGGGACCTCTTGGTTCCGAGTCGAGCACCCTGCCACTACGCCACAAGACCCCACAGGAAATCGTTATTGACATGACAAAAGTACATTAACCTTAAGTTTGTAAGGTCTTCTACCAGCAAACAATTAAATAACTTTTAAGTAATTAACCTCCTGTAACATATTGTTTGCAATTAAATATGTAAAAAAATGCTTTTTTTAGGCCTCACCAATTTAATTTGTTGGTTCACCGATTTACCCACTTCATTTTTTTCTCATCATTCATCATCATCATCATCATCATGATGATGATTTTTTTCTGATTTGAAAAAAAAAAAACATTTGAACCTCTGAATCAACTCCAAAATGGTCATATTTTGGCCCCAAAAAAGTCCCTTCTCTTCAGATTTGTTACAGTTTTTCCATCTATCAATGCAGTGGTTTGATAACAAGTTTGAAGTCCATTGTTTGAATTACAAACCAGTCCGGTATGTTGACCTCAGGGCACCTATCATAGCATTGGTACTATCAAAGGATGCCTAGGTCTGTTTTTTCTTTGCCCTGTCACTTCATTTTTTTTCTGAAAAACACTGAAAACCAAGAAATCAAATTGGTGTGGCCTTAATCAGCAGATCTCTATAGTGTTCCTTGGTTGTTGCTTGGTCACGGGTGCCAGAGTATACAGTGCAATTTTACGGAATACAGTACAATGGTATTAGTACAGTGCAATTTTATGATGGAATACAGTGCAATCGTATTAGTATACAGTGCAATTTTACTAGATTGCACTGTATAGTGCAATTTTACTAGATTGCACTGTATTCCGTAAAATTGCACTGTATACTAATACCTTTGTACTGTATTCTGCATTGTATACTAGTAAAATTGCACTGTATTCCGTAAAATTGCATTGTATTCCATAAAATTGTACTGTATTCTGTAAAATTGCACTGTATACTCTGCCACCCCTGTTGGTTGTTTTAACTGTCTCCTACACTGACCTGTGGGGTGAGTTCCACCTCCAGCTCTCCAGACAGATATTGTCTCTCAAACTCTGCGTTCTCTCCAACGTAGGATGAAATCATCCTCTTCACCTACAAACAAAATATTGGCACAAAATCACACTTTGGGAGGAATAATTTGAATACCCAACTGTTAGTGCAGGTAAATGTAATTCTATGGTTTCGATCACTCTTCATGAAAGTTATTTGAGATATTTTAGAAAAATTGACTATTTTTCATGGACCTTTGCTAAAGGCTAGTCTAGAAACAATCCTAGGAGAAGGGTAGAAACATTGGTGACAACTTTGTCCCTTTTGGTGGCACATACCACATACAGCACTTTTGGAAAAGCTTTGCAAAACAAAAACTCCATAAAGCTAGTGGGAAACAAGCAGTTGGCGCAAGAGACACTTCTCCTTCATACACATGTACTCACCTGTCTTGTTCGAAGTAACAACCCAAGGCCAAAGTCATCAACCCTGCAGACAATAAACAAATGAAAACAACAGCTAATTCAAGATTAGGCCACACCAATTGAATTTGTTGTTTCTCTGATTTTTTCAGAAAAAATATGAAGTGACAGGGCGAAATAAAAAAAAACAGACCAAGGCACCCCATGATAGCCGGAAATGTTATCATATGAGCCATGAAGTGAACATACCCGGCTGGTTTATAATTAAAAAAATAGCTTTTGAACTTTTAATGAAACAAAATTGCATTGTTACATTGAAACAACTTTAACAACTCGGAACAAAAGGACTTTCTTCAACCGTTGGGGACAAAATATGTCTGTCATTGAGCATTTTACAGTTAATTTAGAACCCAATTTTTTTTTTTTTGCAAATCAGAAAAAAATGGACAGGGCGAATCCGAGAAACAACAAATTAAATTGATGTGGCCACCTGTTATTAATGATACTATCACCCAGCCTCAGGATTACACATTTTGTCAAACCTCTGCATGTAAAAAGAACCCAACACACTTATTAAAAGAGTAGGGGTTAAATACACAAGCTATCATGTACTTGTAGCTGCTTGAAAAAGCATCATGCTTCACCTCAGTTGAAGATGACAAAAGAAGAAGAGAATAAATACAAATGTACTCCAAAAAGATGATTGACTGCGACCTACGTACCCAGCATTGTTGCTGACTAACGTCAGGTTCTTAGCTTTAGTCTCCAACAGGCCGGAAATCAGGTTTTCTGGGATCCCACACAGACCAAAACCTAGACAAAGGGAAAATTAAACATCATGATAACTAACTAGCTATGGGATTAACCAATCAGTGTATTCTGAATCTGATTGGTTTATGTACTGATTAAAGATGCTATCGATACTAACTGTTACTGGGTTTCTTGGTAATCTTTCTGCCTTCATCAAAAGCATGTTAGGCCACACTGATAAATTAATTTTATGGATGACATCCAAATGCGATTTTTACCTGTCCTCAAAGAAAAAAAAGATCACGTCCTCCAAGGTTCTGGCCTGGGTGCCATCCTCTATATAGTCCATGGTAGCTAGTGAAAAGTAGGGAGCCGGCGGTAACTACAGAGGATGGCACCCAGGCTTCGAAGCTCTACCACTCAATAAAGGAACTCAGCATATACGTACAGTGCCGATTGTGCCGGCTTGTTGTAAAAGTCGCAAGGTACTATGATCGCAAATCCACAATACCAGCTTTGTGGTTTAGTAGCATGCTGCATTTTTTATTTTTGGCCAGAATTTTTTTTATTCGCCCACGCGCACTAGTTTGGGGGTCTTCCGAGGATGTCATCCATAAAATTAAGTCTGTGTGGCCTTACCTTACCATAAAAAAGATTAAGGATAACACTGTTTACGGATAATAGACCCATTCGACTTTCACGGATCACATGACCTGCTTATGTCACAGGGGGGACATTTCAAAAGAACGTCATTCTAGAACACTTAAGTTGAACGTGGCTTGCGCTCGCGGTGTCCCTCTGGCAGATCATTTTTTTACTAAAAGGTAGGTAAGTGTCTATTTTCTCGGTAATATATGCGGAAATGACAGGAAAACAGGCACCGACTTTGTATGGTGGCATTCCGTACAATAATTTAAGGTTACTTTGTTCTGTGACGTATGCAGTTTATGCGATCCGTGAAAGGAACTTTCGAAATGTCCCCCCTGTGACGTAGTTTCTATTCGAAATGTCCCCCCTGTGACGTAGTTTCTATTCGAAATGTCCCCCCTGTGACGTAAGCAGTTTATGCGATCCGTGAAAGTCGAATGGGTCTATTGTATGATCGTACCCCCAACCAGAAGCGTGGAATCATCCTCGATATCTCGCACAGCATCTACGGGACTGTCGTAGAACTGAACGGGCCGCGTGCGTGTCGTGGAGAAGGAACATGTCACCACCTGTAAGCAAGAAACCATTATGGCAAAATATTGTGCAAAACAATGAGACTGAATGTCCAGGTGATTCTATATGTATATGTTGTGAGACTTCCAATCTTGTCGAGCTAGGTTGTTTGTGTTCTAGGAACCTAGCCTTGACGGGGGGCGCCACAGACTTTCTGCAACCTATGATCCACTGCTCACGGAGTCACGTGTGTTATCTGCGTGACATCACGGAAGCGGTGGATTGCTCATTCCTTGACAAAGACTGGAGCTGTACAGTCGAAAATTTGGGTGAGTCCAATTTCTTGTGTTGAAAATTTCAGTTTAAACTTGTTGCATAATGACTTCTACCAACACAGATGAACTCCCAAGATTGTCTTGTTAATGCAAAAAACACTGAAAAAGTACTTTTATATGTCAACACATTAAAATAAAATTCGCCTATATACAAAATCATAAATACAAATAAAAGCATATATCATCATGTAGTCTTTAACTGTCATAACTTAAACGCTATACAATCTGTTAACATGTTGTAAACATAATAAAATTTGAAAATCTTGAATATAATTTTTTATACATGGCAACTGCTGGTCTGTTTGCCACAAATCATGAAAGCACATACAAGTCTGAAAATGTTTAGAGATATGCACTAGAAATAGCTCAAAAACGTGTCCTAAACCTATGACTCTTCAATATCTAAAATTATGGTACATATTTATGACAACAACAGTTCCATACATAGGGGAGGGGTACGTATACGTTCACCCTAAAATTATACTCCTGCAAGCTGTGCACGTATTCAATTTCATAGTGAAGAAAACGACTCAAAGAATAAATATCTGCGAAGAAATGAAGACCAGGAGTTTTTGAGTACAGTACAGATTTACCTTGGCAGTTTCTGGACGCCTGGTGGACCTGAGAAGACCAGAAACTCCAGCGAAAGTTGGTCGAACTTTTGTCAATAACATGGAGGCCGCCATGTTGTCCCGTGTGTGTGGCGAAGTCTTGCAACGGGAGGAAAGACTTCAAACAGATAACGTAATCGAACCGCAATAAATTTTACCAAAAAGACAAAAATATAGTATATTAGGAAAAATTATTTCTAATTATAATATAGTGGTTATTTAGTAAGTTTTCTGTGCCATATGTTTCAAATTATCAACTTTTTATTCGACACATTTTCGAGTTTTTACTTTTACTTGTGAATCATTCCTCCCATTACAGCTGCAAAAATTCGCATGCGTAGAGGTGTGATGGGGGCGTGTCCCGTTCGCGGTCATCTATAGGTCAACTCGGCTCCGGTCTCCAAGCAGATGTTTGATTCAGATGCCATGCGCTGGTGTTTTCCGTTTATATAGCCTATACCAGGCTTTGGGAGGTGGCTGGAAAGAGTAGAAATCGGCCAAAAAGAGAGATAGCATGCCAAGGGAGTTGGTTGCTGGAGAGAACAGTTTGCATGCTATCTCTCTATTTGGCCGATTTCTACTCTTTCCGACCTCCTCCCGAAGCCTGGTAGAGGCTAGTTTTCCGGGTGATCGTCCCTTGCTCCCGAATGAATCTTCTTGGAGATTAGTTTTGAAGCGTGATTAGACGAAGCGCTGAAAAAATACGAGCAGAATAAGTTTAAAGCCATCTAACAGAAGAGGTACTCTTGCAAAAGAGGTACTCTTGACAAAGGAATCTTTTTATAATATGCGCCCAAGACAGGTTTTTAGTCCGTAATCACACGGTATAACGTTAAGGCCACACCAAGTAAATTTTATGGATGACGTCCGCGCGCGCATTGATTTTGGCCTGTTCCTAGAAAAAAACACAAAAAATTCCACTTCCTGTAACTATGACCAACTAGTCACGACAGTGCCGCAAATAGGTCTGTACGGACCAAAGCTTATAAAGCATCAAGCAAGACTTCCATTGGGAATTCAGTTTGGCACATGCTGCCACATTTGAAGAAACTTGCTGACCGCTTCATCTATCTCCCCAAAGCACAGGACGACAACTGCTGTTCCACCTGATTTATTGCTGTTTTGAGGATGAATAAAAGACTTCTTGCTTGTTACACTGTGTCACCTCATTCAATTTGTGTCCTAACATTTGTCGTCTCTTAGTATATTTCTAATCTAGGCATCTTGTTTTTTAGGGCCCTTCTTGTTTTTTTTTTCGCCCTCTCGCATTAGATTTAGGGTCTCCAAATGACGTCATCCATAAAATTTACTTGGTGTGGCCTAATCAGAAAACCGCGACATTGTGCGTTCAGCTGCAGGTCACTAATGTCCCGCAAGAGGTCCCCACTGCTCAAGAGAAATTACGCCGTTAATCATCCACATAATCGCCACCATGATCGCGTTCGGGCACGTGTACCGATGCGAGGTCATAGAAACCAAAATAGATGTGCGGTTGCCTACATATTGGGACATGCTGGTAGCCTGGGCACAACTCATAACATGATTGATAAAATAAATGCCACGCTTCGGTAACGTTACCTGTATGATCAACGTAATAAAAACCACATGTAATAAATGTCATGTTGTATTATGAATGACAGTATATACTTTACTCCAGGAACGTTGAATAACAAAAAGCTTATAAAACATAATCAGGTATACTGACAAATATCTATGGGGTGAACACAACTTCAATGACTAGTACTGTTTTGCCTCATTGCAATACTGTGTCATCGATTGCCTACCAGAAGGTTACTAGTACATATTAAACCTTGTTGCCTCAACATACAAAATATATACAATATAGAGCTAATATATGTATCGTTCACAGTACAGATATTGACATGAAAGACGGCGCGCTGATATATATATCGTTGTATTAATAATTTTGCGGTTTCTTGCGTTAATATGTTGTTGATTTGTTGTTGTTTTTTCTTCAGTCGGAATTTCGGAAAACAATAACACGCTGACGAACACTGATGACTTGAGTTGGCATCGATTCGCGCAGTGAGACGGATTTCTGTGCGCTTCAATGTCTACCCAATCGATATATAACATGACGTTGTTGTTGGGGGATAATTTCACCTCCGAGTGCATTCTTCCTCTGGACTATTCCACAATGCCAGATCGGGGAGGATAGAAGCAGTAAAAGGATGGCAAAGTGGAAAAATCTAGCCTGGCCGGTTTTGATTCTTGCACGATTAAATGATAAAATGTAGATCGCACGTAGCCTCTACCAGGCACCGCGGATCGCTGGGAAAATAGTAGAAATTGGCCGAAATAATGCAATAATATACTAGGGGAGGTAGCAGGCCAGAGAAGATCCAATTCACGACCCACGGGATCTTCTCTGGCCGGCTACCTCTCCTGGTATATTATTCCCTTATTTCGGCCAATTTCTACTGTTTTTCCAGCGATCCGCGGTGCCTGGTAGAGGCTAGATCGCACGCATTTAGAAGCCCGGCCGCCAACCTCACCGATCACGGAACGCCTGCAAAGGAGTCCAGAAAAAAATGAAGCAGCACCTTCGTCTCTAGATCTCCCCTTGAACAAGATTCAGTATATTTTACTGTACATTTTCATTTTGAAGTGTATGGCGAGGATTTGACATTTTTTGACAAATCTGCAAAGCTCAATAAATAAATAAATAAATTTTCTAGGTGTTCAGAAAAGCCGACTGCCCTCGGGCGTCATGTGAACGTCCTGCTTTCAGCACGACACCAGCTTGTTAGCTTCATTTGCTTCATATGTTCCTGTTAAGTCAGGCGATGCCGAAAGCTTCGTGTGACTGACCCAGTGGGGTCGCCTTCGGAATAATTTTCATGTCATAATATATAGTTTCCACAACTTTCATCCTCTTCAAAATGACCGATACAGTATGTGGGCAAGCAAAAACACGTTTGGGTCAAAAGGGCGAAAATTGTAACAGCATTTAGCTTCTCCTTGCCTCCTGTGCATAGCCTCTACCAGGCTTCGGGAGACGGCTGGAAAGAGTAGAAATCGGCCAATAGAGAGATAAGCATGCCAGGGGAGTTTGTCTGCTGGGAGAGAACATTTTGCCGCACCTGAAGCTACTAGTCATGATCCTGTGCAGGCCTCCGGGTGGGTGGGAGTTTTGATAACTGCGTTTTGTAGAATTTTTATTAACGCGTTCGTGGCGGGTACAAACCTTCTCTGGGCGGCTGGTTGTGTAGCCTGGATGCGAAAGCACACTGGACATATCTCAGTGTGCAAGCTTGCACACTGAGATATTTTGTGTCCAGTGTCATGCCCGTAGCCAGGGGGGGTTCGGAAGAACCCCCCCCCCCCACAAGGCTCACAAGATGGACTGGAATCGTAGAAAAACTACTCCCTTTGTCATTGTATAAAAATTTATCTCTGATTTTTTTCTTGGAAATCCTCTCAAAAAATGCACGAAATGCCATTTTAGAAGGTTCATTTTTCAAAATTTTCCGGGGGAGCATGCCCCCGGACCCCCCTAGGAACCTCGCGCCTTCGGCGCTCGCCTCGCGCCTACGGCGCTCGAGGTCCCCTCAAGCAGTGGGAAGAACCCCCCCCCATTCAAAATCCTGGCTACGGGCATGAGTGTGCTTTGGGTCTGGCATCCAGGCTACTGGTTGTGGGATGGCCGGCAAAAGAACGCGTTAAAGATTCTACAAAACGCAGTATCAAAACTCCCATGCACCCGCCCGGAGGCCTGCACAGGAGGCTAGCCTCTCCCGTGTTTTCAAATGCCCGACTCTGTGTCCGACCTTCGTACGTGACGTGATGGCTCCACCCAAATATCGCCTCGGGGTGATGACGTCATTCCTTTTATATCGTGAGCGATCAGCCATGCTAAGATAAGGCCACAGCAAGTAAATTTTATGGATGACATTCTCCACAGACTCCAAATCTAATGCGAGCGGGCGAAAAAAAACAAGACAGGCCGAAAAAACAAGGTTCCTGCATTTAAAAAATTTGACTCAAGCATTGTACAAAATATACACAGCCAGCATCACATATCACTGCATCAAAGTAAGAAACAAAACATTAAATCAGAGCATTTTCTCGTCTCCTCTCTTCATAGATATCTACCATCCACCTTCCGGCATGGCAACGGACATCTTTGCCCATTTTCGGCACGTTGACCACTGTCAGAAGGCAACAAAATTTCTTCTTGTTTTTTTCCAAAATCAGGCGAAAATTAATGCGCGCGCTGATGTCATCCATAAAAATTGCTGTGGCCTAATACTAGTAACAGGCGCACACTCGCCAAAACTGCTCTGTGTGGTTTATCCTGATCAAGGACAGTATATTGGCCTGAAATGAGCGTCCTCGAAATAGTACAGGATATGATGATGAAGCAGACCGTATAGCGCTCCATGCGGCGAGTGTATATACTGCAGCATGGTGCGTTTTTATTTTCCTCTCGCTGGTTTGAAAGCATTGAAATATTGCTGTTTGCGTGTTTCCTCAACTGATCCTATCGTGTTAGCCTCTACCAGGCTTGGGGAGGCGGCTGGAAAGAGTAGAAATCGGCCAAATACTATGAAATAGAGAGATAAGCATGCCAAGGGAGTCTGTCTCTCTATTTGGCCGATTACTACTCTTTCCAGCCGCCTCCCCAAGCCTGGTAGAGGCTACTATCGTGTAGTTGTTACGAGTACGGAGGTTTTACTTTGGGTGTGTTTGTCTTTGTTACCTCCATGAAAAATGGAGGTATTGTTTTTGGCGCGTCTGTCTGTGTGTCTGTGTGTGTGTGTGTGTGTGTGTGTGTGTGTCTGTAGTCAGCATAACTTCATAACGCCTTTATGGATTGTGATGATATTTGGTATGCTGATAAGTCTTAGGAAGACAAAGGTCAAGGTCAAATATGGGCCTCCTGGTGGATGACCTTGGTACTGCAGCAGAACTTCCGGTTTCTGTATCTTTTGTCCTGAACGTGCTATGGTCTTGAATTTTTGGTGAGAGATAGCTTTTCCTGTCAGGAATAAGTGGTATGGGTTTGGTCCCCCTATGAGCTTGTTCTGGAACTGCAGGGGACTTTCTGGTGAAATCTTTAAAAGCC